CGCAAATAGTCCACCTTCTGCGACTAAAATTTAACTTTTGGCGACCACAATTTTTTGGTCGCGGAAAATCACCTTTTGGCGACCAAAAAAAAAAGTTGGTCGCAGAAAGTATCCAAAGGCTTTTTTGGTCGCGAAAGATCACCTTTTGGCGACCAAAAAAAAAGTTGGTCACGGAAAGTATACCCTTTGGCGACCAAAAAAAAAAGTTGGTCGCGGAAAGTATACTATTGGCGACCAAAGGCTTTTTTGGTAGCGGAAGATTACCCTTTGGCGACCAAAAAAAAAAGTTGGTCGCGGAAAGTATGCTATTGGCGACCAAAGGCTTTTTTGGTCGCGGAAGATCACCTTTTGGCGACCAAAAAAAAAAGTTGGTCGCGAAAAGTCTACTATTGGCGACCAGAGGCTTTTTTTGTCGCGGAAGATTACCCTTTGGCAACCAAAAAAAAAAGTTGGTCGCGGAAAGTTATGGCGGGATAAATTTTAAAAAAAAATGATACTACAGTAATTACATGCTATTTTTCTATTTAGGCATTAAAAGTTTTATAAAATAATATATAACCCAATTTTTATGGGTTATATATTTTTTTTGTCAAATATGAACAAAAAGTATGTTATTGGCAGAGTGGCAGAGTGGATTGGGTGCATGGTGACTCCTTGGTTAGGAGTTCAAGTCCCAGGGAGGACAAAAGAATTATTTTTTTTGGGTCAAGGCGCTGACTTTTGGCGACCAACTTATCTTTGGTCACTAAAAGTTTACTTTTGGCTAATATGAATTGGACTTTTCGCGACCAAAAAAGTTGGTCGCGAATGGTCACTTTTAGCGACCAAAGATTTTTTTGATCGCAGAAAACTATCTGTGACGAGGCTTTAGCAACCAACTCGCGACCAACATATTTTGGTCGCGAAAAGGTTTTAGCGACCAAATATGGTACTTTTCGCGACCAAACATGTTCGTCACGGAAAGTGTTTTTTCTAGTAGTGTTGGTGACTCGGGGCTGATATAGCTGATTCATCAGGGCATGTCCAGGATCTACATTCGTGCGCTCTTTTGCGAGTAAAAACTTGAGGGGTGAACTCTGGTTCAGGTTGGTGGAAAAGTATCGATGCTTTGTTTGGGCGGAAACATGGGTTCGAAGGCGATCGAGATCTGTCTGGTTTTCATTCGAGCGCTCCTCTTCGAGTGAGAGTTTGAGGGGTGATCTTTTCTAGATGTTTGGTGGCGTCTTAGCGGTTGGTCGGGGTTTTGGTTGGTGTGTGGAGCTGCAGTGGGTGTGGGTGATGATCTGTCTTCGGGTGATGATCTGTGTGGAGCTACAGTGGGTGTGGGTGTGGGTGTGGGTGTGGGTGATGGCCGATGTGTGGAGCTGCAGCGGAAGAGATAGCGGTGGCAGTGGGTGATGAGCTGTCTTCGGTAGCAAGTGTTGGAGTTGCAATGTCAAGTTTAGCAGGGGTGTTGCAGGTGGGTGGAGTTGTGGAGTTTGGAGGTTAGAGTTGCAATGTCCGGTGAGCCGTTGGCTATGGTGTTTGGAGCTGTGAGCTGTTGGTTGATGGGTGTTGCCGTTGGCTTTGGTGTTTGGAGCTGTGAGCTGTTGGTTGATGGGTGTTCAGGTGTTCAGGTGAGCGGTTGGCTATGGTGTTTTCCGGTGGTATGGCCTCGGGAGTGGGTCTTGGCGTGGTGTATACGTTGTGTTCAGGCGGGTGTTGGCTCCAGAGTAAGCGTAGGTGTGGGCTGCAGAGTAGGCGTGGGTGGCATGGGCCTTGGGTAGTGTGGGAAATCATGTTTATTGATTATTTTACCAGCCTTAGAATTGTTTATGTTAGAATTGTTTTTTGGTGGGGTGATTTTGTGGGAAATCATGTTTTTTATTTTTTGTTAAATCCTTCTTAACTTTTTTGTTTAAAAAAAAAAAAAACGTGAGGTCGAGAGGTTGGTTATATGGTTGCGAATAGCAGTAGTAGGCGTATTTTTATACTTTCCGAATCTCTCTCAGTGCATTTTATCTTCCTGTACCTTTAATTTCATGTTAATTAATGAAATTTTTCTTTACTGATAAAAAAAAAAAAATTTAAAATTCTCATTAACCAAACCCTTAATAACAAGTGACATATGAAGAAGATAAGGATTGATGCAAATAAAAATTGTGTATGACCAAAAAAGTAGAAAGGCAAGTAATATGTTTTCGAGAAGAAGGGTAGGATTTGCAATGTGGCTTTCAAATCACTGTTGTTGTTCCCTTTTCCGTTTTTAACTACCATTAAGAATCAATTAAATACATAAATAATTGAGTTTGCTAATCTCATGTAGCTAAGTTGAAACGTTAGGACGACTTTTTGACCTTAGAACATATTTATCATTTTCCTATTTTTTGTATACCTAGTGTAGCTAAGTTGACTCACGTATCAAAAGTTTTTGAGTCTTTGTTTTGGGGTGCAAATGGAGCCGCCATGGGCAGGTTTGGCACCAATTCAGGTTATTTTTGTCTTTTTTGAGTGCATCACTGACTGTCCTGATGTGTGGCCTTCAATGCTTTCTTTTATTTTGGAATACTCTTCAAGGGAAAAGGTTTGATTTATTTATTTATTATTTTTTAGGTAAATTATTAATAAGTCATAATAATTAGATTTAATTCTCATCAAATTCTATTAAAAATAAATCTTGATAAAATTATAGTTAAAAATAATTTTTTTGTGATAATTTTTTACATACGTCGCTAAAAATTGACAATTAGTGATTTTTTTTTGAGTCATGATTTTTATAAATTATTGTTAAAACTTACAATTAGTAATTTTTTTTTATAACAAATTTTTTTCATAGGACCTATTAAAAAATAAATTCACTTATTGAGACTTACACGTAAGTACCCTTATTTTTTTATGACTAGCTAGGAATCTCCTTCAAAAAATCTTCTCCCTCTGGTTTAATTTTTAAAATGAGTTTTGAATTATATTTTAAAAAATAAGTTATTGAAAAAAAAATTGAAAATTAAAAATTTATTTAGTTGTAAGTTTTGAAAGTAGTTTTGGAATGATTTTTAATTTTTTATAATTGAATAGATGGGTATCAGAAAAAAATTTAATTGATTGATGTGTAGAATATAAAAGAATGAGAGAGGAGAGAAGAGAGAGGAGAAAAAAAAGTGATTAATTGATTTATTAATAATAAAAAAAAAGAGAAAGGAGAGAAAAAAATAAATTTTGAATTGTATTTTAAATTTTTTTTAACCAAGCAAACATTTTTATTTTTAATTCAAATCATGTTTTAAAAATTAAGCCAAACATTCCCTTAATTTTGGATACTACAAGCAGTCTCAAATTAAGGGTAATGATTAGAAAATTCCTTTTGCAGCATTTATAGGTTTGCTTATTTATTTTTTTAGAAAATATCATTTTGTATCTCAAATTTTGAAACGTTTTTTAATTTAACCCCAAATTTTGTATAATATCAATTTGTAATTGTAATTAGTTTATTTTTTAAATTAATTTTAATAGAATTGATTGACTAATAGTAATTTTAAAATTGAGTGAGAAAAAAATTTAAAATTCAATTATTGTCTGAAGAATAATTAATAGAACTAATACTCAATTTTTTGATTTAAATTTAAATTTTTTCATTTTTTAGATAAAAAATTATTGATTAAATATTGTTTTTTTATCTAAATATTTGGGGGGCTAATTGATTTTTTAAGATATAGTTTGGGGGAAAATGAATTTTCAAATGAAGCTTGATACCATTTTTTTTTTTTTTTTATCAGCAAACAAAAAGAGAGTATATATATTGAACACAAATACATCAGTAGCATAGCAAATGAAACCAAACAAAATTGGCTCCAATGAGCTAGCCCGATTAACCGCTAGTAATACAACTGCTGGTGAGAAACCAACAAGAGGAAACCAACAGGAAACAGAGGAGAAGAGCAGCAAAAACCAAAGGAGACACCAGCAAGAGGCACCCATGTCGTTGCAGCTGCATGAACCAAAACAGAGGCCGATACAGCAACATAAGCCAAAACAGAGTCTAAGGCAGTAGCATGCACCAGTAGACAGTAGAAATAGAACCAAAACAGAAGCAGTAACGTCCAAGTAGAACAGCAGAGGCACGGCTGGTTTTCCAAAAAACAGTAGCAGATTCCAAGAAGAAGAAAGAAATTATCACCAACATAGGGCTTCAGCCTAACCCTCTTTGACAATACTTAATTTGTTGTAAGTTATACAAAATAACATTGACTGAAAAAGACAGCTTCACATCAGCAGCTCTAACCCACATAGCAGACCTGGTTTTAATTATCTCACATAGACCACACAGATCAGGTTGCAATTCAGAAAACAACACCTCATTCCTGTGTTTCCATATAGACCACAAGGCAGCAGCAGGTAATACATTTCAGACTTTTCTTTCAAAGCTAGTACCCGAAAACCCAGCCCAAAACTATAAAACTCCATCCACTGTTGCTGGCATAACCCACTGGGATCCCCACCAGAGAAAGATATCAGCCCACACCCTCCATACAAAGGGACACCACAACAAAACATGATTTACCGACTTCTCATCAGCTTTGCAAAACACACATTGGGTATTAGCAGCAGCTGGAATGACACCAATCCGCTATAGGTAAGAGGACGTTTTTAACCTTTGCCTCCAAGCTAACCACACAAAAGCTTTTGCTCTAGGAGTAGATACACTTTGCCAAATCATCTTGGAGATTGCAGACTGTTTTCACACCACCTATAGGCAGATGATATGCTGAAGCAGCCCGAGTTTTCAGCCCCTCAACATAACGCATCAACCTTATTAGCTCTTAACTCCGGAGTGTTATTTACCAAATTAACCAAACGAGCCACCTCTTCCTTTTCCCAATCTCGGAGCATTCTATTGAAGCATTCCTCCCAGTCATGTAGGCTCCTTCTTGATTCAATCACCTGCTTAATTGTTTTCAGCAGAGTTAATTGTAATCACATATTAGTATTCTTCTCACAATTCTTTATGATGGACCCTCTGCATGTGAGTTCCTACAAATAAATTTGTGTATTCTACAATCCAAGACAGGTAGGAACCCTTTAAGTCCAACCCTTCCCACTCCCATCAGACATGAAACAATTCCCCAGGTATATTACAATAAGAGTTTATTACACTATTTTGGACTACATTGAATTTCATTATTATTATTATTATTATTATTTATTATTATTTTTTTTTTGTGAGCAGGGAAAGCTTTGGCTTCTCCAATTGAGAGATATGCAGTTGTTCTTGATGACAACATAAGTGTTCTTTCATCAAGAACAACGTAAGTGTTCTTGATGACAACGTAAGTGTTCTTTTAGTTGTTATATTAATACTTGTAGGAAGAATTTCGATGGAGGATGGACGATGGAATTCGGTGATAAGAAGAAGATGAGTTGCAAACCAATACAGTAGATCAGTGGATTATGGAGTGTATACTATCTTTGTGGATGACATCCCAAGCTCAATGACTCCGAAGGGTTTGTACACGTTGTTTAATAAGTTTGGTGTTGTTAAGGATGCTTTTATCCCGTCCAAAAGACGGAAATCGACGGGGTCGAGGTTTGGTTTTGTGAGGTATGAGTGCAAGGTGGCTGCCGAAATGGCGGTGCTGAAGGTTGATGGCTTATGGTGCGACAATAAGGCCCTGAAAGTAAAGAAAGCAGAGTTCAAAAAAGGGGAGTTTAAGCAGCATACAATGACTAACAGAGGAGATGTTCCGATGACGCAGCGTCCACAGAGGAGTTTTGGACATAGAAGGATGGATGTTTCAGGTCGAAGATCGTTTGCAGAAGTCGTTCAGAGTGGTGTCAGAAATGAGAAGATGAAGGTGGTTGTACAGGCATTCGAAGTCGGAAATGGATGGCTTTATGACAGTGTAATTGTAAAGTTGAAATCATTCTTTTCCTTCGATGAGTTTAAAAAGGAGGTTGGTAAAAGAGGTATGGAGGAAGTAAGAGTCAGAGAAGGAGGAGGAAGGGTAGCACTGCTAACTTTTAAGTCCCAGCAACATAAAAAGGAGGCTACAACCAAGCTACAAGAGTGGATGCTAGAATGGTGTGATTCTATTACAGATTGGGACAAAGGCAAGTATGTTGAACAGGAAAGGTGTGTGTGGCTAACATGTACAGGTGTACCACCTAATTTGTGGAGTGTTAGTACATTTACAGACATTGGCAAGCTGTGGGGTGAAGTTGTTCAATTTGATGATGCTATTACTACTCAAAATTCTTTTAAGTGGGGAAAGGTGCGTGTAATTACTTCCAGAATGGAGTTCATCAATTCGGTGATCCATGTTAAATGTAATGGAAGCCTATTCCCAGTTAGAGTGTGTGAGGAGATCCCAACAGCAGGTGAGCCGTGTCATTGCAGTAGTTCCTACATGGAAAATGAGGTCACTGGTCCTATGGCTCAAGATGAAGTGGATCAACTGTCGAAAAATGGTGAGGCAAACAAGGAAGAACATGAAGATGAACACACAAGGAAGGAGGAACAGGTTATGGTGGACTGCGATGCAGGGGAAAAAAATGAAGGTAATGAGTGCTTATCTGTATCAGCCATAAAAGAAACAGAGGATGACATGGGAAATCAAAAAGTCAGAGGAGGTAGTCTGGAGGGTAGGTTGGCGAGCACGGCAACTCCAAGAAATGAAATTCAAATTGTGGAAGGCCATGTTTGTACCCCTGGGTTTATCAGAAGCCTAAGTGGGCCAGAGAGTTTAAGGCCTAAACTAAATATAGAGGTGGTGCTGGATGGGCTACAGGATGGGGTCCAGGAGAATAGGCCCATCACGGATTATTCAAACCTCAGTGACTGTGTAGCCCAAACTCAGGTTAGGCCCAGTGTTCAACAAGAAGATAAGCTAAGAGTAACAGTCAAAGTTAACCCAGCAAGGAAAGGTAAGCCCACCCAAGCA